GTAATTAAATTAAATTAATATAATAATAATATTAATGTTAATATGAATTGAATTGATAAATCTCAAATTCAAAATTCTTTAATTTTTAGTTTGCAAGTTCTGTAGATCCTAATAATCAATATTTGAGTGTAAGTTAATTTTTGAAAAATTTTTCTATAAATCTATAAATATATTAATGAAATTATCAATTAATAACTTGTAGAAAAAAATAACATGGGCACATATGAATCATTGTACTGTTCCAAGTACAATTGAAGAAGAATTACAGTATAATCCCTATTTGCGAGTCTCGTATGTTTTATGCTTTTATTATTTGTTGTTGATTTAAATTCATTAATAATATTCATATATCGTGATGACTTATTTTTATTTTTCAAAAAATTAAATAATAGTGATCCAGCAATTCAACAATTCACCAGCACAGTCGATCCTTTTGAAGTTATGAACACATTAAGGATTTTGAATGATAGTTTTAATAATAATCAAAATAATAATAATATAAATCAACTAACCAACTTAAATGGAATAAACAATTCCAACAATTATAGTAATGGCGCGAATGGTATTAGTACTCTTAATGGACTTGGACTTAGTGGGATTAATGGGATGTCGGGTGTGATGATGTGATTATTATTATAGGAAAGCTATTTATTTATTGAAAAAAAAAACTTAAGATGCTAATTTAATTTTTAGCTTATGTGCTTTACTCTTATTTCTAAGAAATTTGTTGAAGAATGATGAATGGATGAAAGAATGAAGAAACCTTAGATAGAGAGTGGTCACATATTATGTTATACATATAGTCTTATAAATATCTATTAATTAATATTTTTATTTACGATTTTTTTTTTTAATAATTAGACACCCGTTAAAATATATTCATATATAGGATTTACGATACATTCATATTTGATATATAAAATGTTATTATATATATAATTTATGATATGTTCATATTAATATATATCATTTGGAATAGAGGCAATAAATAAAAATATAACGTTAGTACCGACCCATTTATTTTAACATATATAACGCAATCCATAAAGACGACTAAGTTCATTACATAGTAAAGATAATTTTTTCAATAAATAAATTTTTTGTCTACCAAATCTCCCCATTGTATATGGCAGGACAAATATACTCGATATAATTTTACATGATCGACAATCAGGGGGAATTTTAATTCAAAAAGTTAACTTGCGACATTAAACATCTTCAAAATAATATTCTTCTGAATTGAATGAACGGAACATTGTTCGCAGACTCTTTTTCTGGGTGGATCATTTGAAAAATATAATTATAATTGTGATTGTGATTGTAATCCAGGTTAGAAGAAGGCGCATTTTATAGGTTTTGATAGGTTTCGATTTTGGTAAATATTATAAAACGATCATTCCATCTTCAGGCAATGAATGTTGTTTCTCTGAAATCATCGACAGCGTGATTGGAAAAGTGAAAATGTTGAATATTTTTATTGGACATTTGTGGATCATTAGTGGTCAAAAGTTATCTTCAATTGCAATGGAAAATTCTTAAAGAGAAAAAGCAGGTTATTAAACATTTGCTACAGGCGACAAAGGTTAAAGAGGGATTTTGTTTCTATTTATATCAGATATATCAATGAAAAACAAATAATTCGATCTATAATTTGTACATAATAATAATCAATCAACGACGATAATTTCTTATTTACAAATAATTGTCGTAATTATTACATAATAATGTTTAAAAGGATAAAAGTATGTGCTCTTGTGAAAATAATTAATGATCTTTATCTTTAAATGGTTTCTATTCTTACATACAATGTTTTTCTGTTGCTCTAGTTCTCCTCCTCGTTTTATTATAACTCGGTACATTTTGAGTATTTATTTTCAGTTCTCGAATTTTTTTGCTTCGTTTTTGATGATTTATTGTCCACTCTTCCAAATCAACCTCGTCATTGTCAACCGTTTTCGCGTTGGCTGTATGTGACTTTACTGGTTGATTAATGAATAAATAATTAATAATTTTGATCTTGATCTTTAAATGGTTTCTAACATCATTACAAACTAGTTCTCTAATTACTCTACCTTTTTGTTCATCAAATAAGTAAAAATTTCTGTTAAAAAAGCAACTATTATTGTTAAAGAATGTGTTAATAAAAAATCAAGTTACCTTTTAAAAAAACAGATGTATTATCAAATTATCAAAAAAAAACATTGTTTGCGTTTCCTTGAATCAAACTACCTTCAGACTTCTTGTTATACGGTGCAGACCACCTATAACCAATTAATTGCTTATAATAACAACTGGTCAGCTTCAAAATACTAAAACAAAAAATTTTTACATCATTTTAGAAAAAGTTAACCGATAAGTTTTATTGTTCATGATTCAAGCTTCAAAAATTATCGGCTAGTTTTTTCTTAAACTAAAAATTGGCAGAGCCTTAGCATTTTGAAAATTCCAAATTTTGTTATACTCTTAAGAAATTGATACCAAGTTTCGTGTAACAAATTTTTCATAGAATATTTTCTACAACATATATCGATTTATTTGTGATAATAAAAGTTCTTTACAATAAAAAGTTTAACGAACATATTACATTTAAAGAAAATCATTATCAAATTTGGTCATGCAATTCAACGCGAAAACTATTTGAGTAGAGAAAAATCGTGATTCTGTATATTATGTCTTCTTTGATATTTCATATCACTTGTGTTATTATACATTGTTGTTTGTTGTTCAATCCGATTGATGACGGGTTTGCCAATTAACACTTAGTACACAAACTTCATTTGAGTTGAGTAGAGGTTGGAATCGTCCAAAAAATTCTTAGTCGACTACTCGTTGGTCAAAAATTTCTTTAGTCAACTATTAGTTGATTATTTTAGTTGACTATTTTAGTTGACTATTTTAGTCGACTAATTTTTTTTTTATAATAATAATATTTCTTTTTTTTTTTTTTTTTTTAATTTGCAACTTATGAATTCATTTCCATTTGAATCTTTCATTTTTTCAAAATGCTTGTGTTACGATTCGCTTTTTAAAGGTCTTCCGGAACCACTGCTTAAATCATTGGAACTTGAAGCCAATGAACTATTGGACCTTGTATTGGAAGTGTTTATTCATTCGCATGTAAAATTATCATCAACAACACAGCAACCCTCCTATTATTTTTATATAGTAGTAATTCTATATACCACTTAAGAAAAGAAAACAAAAGTAATGAAAGAGAGATTATAAAATAGTCAAATCATAATATAACACTTTTTTTTTTTGAGCAACAGTCCCTGCAAAATTATGTTAGATGAATTTTCAAAGTTGTAGTCCTTATGATATTATGCAAAAAAACCAATTTTGGTCAAAAAGATCCCTGACCACATCATCAAACCTTGATGTTTTTATTATTTTAATAAATCAATAAAGTCTTCCTTAGGGTTTCTATTCGTAATACAATTTCTTATTTCTTATTCGAATTATTCGTTTTATTCGAATTAAAATTTATTCGAATAAACTTTCAATGTAATTCGAATACTCAAATTCATAACGAATAAAGTGAATAATTCGAATAAACCTTATTCGAATAGAAGCCCTAGTCTTCCTCCCAATCGATTAAAACATTTAAAGGATCCATCAACATCTTGGATAAAATGTATATCTTCTAAATATCTTGATTTAAAGTTGTTATTATTTTATCACCATCATATATATATATATATATTGTAACTTATCACACCTTTTGAATATTTCTAATAATCGTTTATCTAACTCGTTATTGTAAAAGATGGATGATTTTGACAATATTGACTAATTGATTGATTGAAATAATTCTCCTAAATAATCTTTATCTTATCAACATATAAGAATTTCAAATCCTTTCCATTGACTTTAATAAGATCAGACGAGTCTGATAGAAATGACTGACAAGTAATATATAAATCTACTGTTTCAATATTTGGAAACGAAAGATAATTTTGTTTTTTTGCATTAGTGATACAAGCCGGCTAAGTAATTAAGAAACAGTTGAAAAAAACTTTAAAAAATTAAATCATATAGGTGATTTTGATACCTGTAGTAAGTAATGTAAGTAAATTAGATTTCCATTGAATAAAGAAGCAGATCTAATAATTAACATATTATGAATTTGATTTAATCACTATAACAAATATCACACAATGATACACCACCATCACCACCCACCATAATAATAAGTCAGATTACTTCCCCATGTAAACAAGTTACAAAATGAAAAATTGGAATTAATGGTAAAATTAATTATTGGGATTTATTTTATAATTTGGAAATATTTAAATTCGTCATTGAATAATAATAATAACTACATTCAGTCTATACATATATTTCAGTTCCTTGTTGGTGCCATTTTAAAAAAACTTCAAATAATGTGGGAACAAAAACTGTGTATAATACGACTGCCATCATAGAACATCTTGCTGCTGGGGTGCTTGAATCAGCAGGAAATGTATCTTTGTATGTGAAATTGATCGAATATGGAAGGTGTTTGGGTACGCAATTCCATTTGGTTGGCTAATTTAATTTTCATGTATGGTTGTGAATTGCAAATTTACATAGATCTCACAACATTTAAAGTAAAAGTGAAACATACATATTACACCACGGCATTTACAACTTCATTCGTGGCGATGATGAGCTAGGCATTTATTAAAGCCACAATTAGAAGTGGTGGTGTATGACCAGTAATATCTCCATCATTTATATACCTTGATTCTGACTATATTTCAATCGATCTTTTAATTTAATATAGCATATTAATATTCATCAAACATAATTATAGATTTTTTTTTTCTCTAATAAAAATCATCAATCAAATTCATATAAATCAAAATATTTTATTTTGATTATAGTTTTTATTATATAGCTACATTTTTTTATTTTCTTGATAATGTTTTAATACATAATTTAAAAAAAAATTTCCTTTCTGTAATATTTATGGAAACTCACTCGCTTATTTATTGTCAGGAATATTTACTTGAATTCATTTAATGACTTCCCCCAAGATTTTGATCGGCCATGATCAATAAACTTCTGTACTCCAAGTTGCTTAACGAATCGTAGGTCCTACCTTGTTCCAGTCCGAAGACCTTCATCAAGGCTTGGACCTCCTCATTTTGAGCAACTTGTTGTACTGTTGCATCCCTCACATTCAAGAGCTTTCCTTGTAGGAAGTGAACTCCCCACTTCTTGTTGTTGGCAATCTCCAAACCAGCTAAGGCATTTGCCTTAGCTGATTCTCCTTCTGTCAGGATAGTATTGATTCAGCATCTTCTGCCTCAACTAATCCTGGTACTCTGCAAGTAAATAAATAAATAATATTAAAATGAAAGAAATGAACAAAATGAATGATTAATCAACTAACAAATTTTTGACCAATCCCAACATCTAAACTAGAATAGCTCTCAAAACAATAAATAATACTTACACTGAGGCTACTATTCCGCCACTGTGATTTTTTTATTTTTATAGCACCGATTATAAAGTGCAGTTAGATCCGTTTCTTGACCCGGCATCCTTCGTATCAACTAAGCTTGGTATATACATCGATCGTACCTTGAACATTATCTCTGTAAATAGATAAATGAATAATAAAATGAATAAAAACGAATAAAATGAACAAAATGACTGATTAAACGACTAACAAAAATTTGACCGATCCCAATCTTTAAACTCGAATAGCCCTCAAAACAATAAATAATACTTATTCTGAGGCTACTCTTGTTTTGCTGTGGTGGCCTTTGTGCCGGTTTTGAGCTTTATTAAACGGCATTATGATTTTTATAAAAATTTAATATTATTTTCTGTATATATATAATAGTTGCTTTTAAGATGCGAGACGCGAATTGCACATAACAATCACTATACAGTCAAACCTCGCCACAGCGGATTCATGGTTCCAACCAAAAAAATCCGTTATGACGAGAAATCCGCTGTGGA